CATCGCGTTTCGTAGCAAAATGGTATACATTTAAAGAAGTCGAGGAAAATAAGAGTATATATGGGAAAAACAAAAAGTTAATCAACGTCTCCGGAAAGACTTGTTTTCAAACACGACACCATTATTTGATGTGAATAACATATATTTCTCGCACCATCGCGTTTCGAAGCAAAATCGTATACAATTAAAGGAGTCGAGGAATACAAGAGTAAATATGGGCAAAAACGAAAAATAAATCAACGTCTCCAAAAAGGCTTGTTTTCGAACACGACACCATTATTTGATGTGGATAACATATATTTCTCGCACCATCGCGTTTCGAAGAAAATTCGTATACATTTAAAGAAGCGAGGAAAATAAGAGTAAATAGGGGCAAAAATAAAAAAATAAAAAATCAACGTCTCCGGAAAGGCTCGTTTTTCGAACACGACACCATTATTTGATGTGAGTAACATATATTTCTCGCACCATCGCATTTCTAAACCAAATCGTATACATTTAATGAAGTCGAATAAAGTACGAGTAAATAGGGGCAAAAACGAAAAAATAATCAACGTCTCCGAAAAGGCTTGTTTTCGAACACCGCACCATTATTTGATGTGGATAACATATATTTCTCGCACAATCGCGTTTCGAAGCCAATTCGTATACATTTAAAGAAGTCGAGGAAAATAAGAGTAAATAGGAGAAAAAATGAAAAAATAATCAACGTCTCCGGAAAGGGTTGTTTTCGAACACGGCACCATTATTTGATGTGAATTACATTTATTTCTCGCACCATCGCTTTTCGAAGCAAATTCGTATACATATAAAGAAGTTAAGGAAAATAAGAGTAAATAGGGGCAAAAATAAAAATAAAAATCAACGTCTCCGGAAAGGTTTGTTTTCAAACACGACACCATTATTTGATGTGAATAACATAGCATCATCGCGTTTCGTAGCAAAAAGGTATACATTTAAAGAAGTCGATGAAAATAAGAGTAAATATGGGAAAAACAAAAAGTTAATCAACGTCTCCGGAAAGACTTGTTTTCAAACACGGCACCATTATTTGATGTGAATAACATATATTTCTCGCACCATCGCGTTTCGAAGCAAAATAGTATACAATTAAAGGAGTCGAGAAAAATAAGAGTAAATATGGGCAAAAACGAAAAATAAATCAACGTCTCCGGAAAGGCTTGTTTTCGAACACGACACCATTTTTTGTTGTGAGTAACATATATTTCTCGCACCATCGCGTTTCTAAACCAAATTGTTTACATTTAAAGAAGCCGAATAAAATAAGAGTAAATAGGGGCAAAAACGAAAAAATAATCAACGTCTCTGGAAAGGCTTGTTTTCAAACACGACACCATTATTTGATGTGGATAACATATATTTCTCGCACCATCGCGTTTCGAAGCAAATTCGTATACATTTAAAGAAGTCGAGGAAAATAAGAGTAAATAGGGGCAAAAATAAAAAAAAAAATCGACGTCTCCTGAAAGGCTTGTTTTCGAACACGACACCATTATTTGATGTGGATAACATTTATATCTCGCACCATCGCGTTTCGAAGCAAAATCGTATACATATAAAGAAGTCGAGGAAAATGTTGTGTTCTGAGCTTTTTATATATTTTTTTGGGAATTTATATGAATTTTTCTGTAACTTCAACTTAGCAACAATGGTGAAATTGATGACTTGAGGAAGAAGAGGGGAGAGGAGTGACGATGAGAGAGAGAGAGATTTTGGTGAGGAGAGGGAAGAGAGAGTGAGAGGGAATAATTGGATAATCATTACTTGTCATTCTCTCATTAGTTTCTGCCAAATATAACAACTTGTGTGGGCCATGCAAAACCACCAAAGATGCCACATTCCACTACTTAAATAAAATTACTAAAAGAAAATGCTAAAAAGGAAAATTACATATCTTAAAGGTTTATGGAGATAAAATAAGCTAGACACGCGTACGACTGAGATGTTCCCTTCACTATCTTTAATCGACGCCTCCGGTTGCGCCACGCGTCGAAAGATGATCCCCTTTATCAACAACATCGTCCAAACTCGTTGTCCTTTCTTTGTCTGAAATACTTCCCAGATCCCCTTTTGCATTCTCGTTCAGCGAAATACCATTTTCGCCTAAGATCACAACAGTTCCCCTCCGATTTTGAAATCCTTGTCCACAAGGATTGAGAGCTTTGAATTTCGCCATCATAAACTTCTCATCTTCCCAGGATATCATATTTTGAGATTTGCTTCCCCACATCACCAAGAGCTGTGTTACTGGTTCCTTTCTACGGTCGACAACACGTTTATCGAGAATAGCCGTGGGTACAATGGTGAAAACTCCCTCCTCATCGACAGAAGGAAGCTCCTGAACAGGTGATGTATTCTCCCCCAATTTCCTTTTAAGCAAAGAGACATGGAACACAGGATGAACTTTAGATCCTTCAGGAAGCTCTAGTCTGTATGCCACCTTACCGATTCTTTCAATTATTTTGTAGGGACCGAAGAATTTCGAGCAAAGTTTCAGGCTTTTGCGGAGTTGAACCGAATTTTGGCGATAGGGCTGCAG